GTGTGTGTGTGTGTGTGTGTGTGTGTGTGTGTGTGTGAGAGAGAGAGAGAGAGAGAGAGATGTTTCAATAATCTTATCACAAATAAAAAGAAGAAATTGCTTCTTTTCTTTTATGTTTTCCATTTACAATATAGTATAGAACAGATTACAATAATTGAGGGCATGCTAAAGATAAAAACCAGTCATCAACATAAATTTTCTTTCTTTATTGATAATGGTTCTTGTATTAAAAGATTAAATTAAATAAATCCAAACAACATAACCCATATAGTACAGAGATTGTATTCTTTTTCTTTTTAATATGGCAAATGACAAAACACCCACAAAAAACCTGCTTAAAAAGACAAATAAGCCTGCTTAAAGTTAACAATAATAAAGTTGTCATTCAAATAATGTAGCAACAAATAAATAAATAAATAAAAATATATAATGCCTCAAAACTTAGAAACCTCCTTTTAATAACATAAAAATCAAGACTAAACACATATAGTTTATGAACATCTAATAACACATGTAATTGTTGATAATACTAACAGCTAGCAAGGCATCTAGTCAAGAATAAATATATGTAGCTTATGAACATCTAATAACATAAAAATCAGCATAAAATTAAATAAAAAAGGTAGACCCTCCTTTCATAACATAAAAATCAGTATTAACATTTTTACTCTCTTACGAAGCAAACGAATAAAAATTCTAATATGAATATAGGAAATAACCAGATATGCTAGATTAGAAACAAATAACTAATACCTTCAAGAACATACACTACCAAATGAATTATATTTCAGCTCGCTGACACAAATCAGTTACAAGAAGTAACAAGTACTTCCGAGCACGTACTACAAATTCACAATTATGTGTTTCTAACTGCAACTTGGCTTCATAGCATGAAATCCATTTTCTATTCATTGTTAATAACACGCATGCAAACTCAAATGTAGCCGCCACTTGCTTATGACAATTAGCAAGAACGGTGACCAAAACACCGGAATGCATGAATTCATGTAGTTGTTCTTTCTTTTCCTTTTTTTTTTTAACATAAATTCATATAGTTGTTCTTTGTAAATTGAATCATTTAAAGGAGTGCATATGACAAATTAAGAAATGAAAACATGGCATCAATATCCAACAAAGATACATAACTATATCAAACTGTTTGTTAGCAGAAATGAAAACAGGGCATCAATATCCAACAAAGATACATAACTATGTCACTATCAAACTGCTTATTACAATATCATAATCAGAAAGCATATCAGCAGAAAAGAAATGGTAAATAATTCATATTCTAATAAAGAGAAAAGTATTCAAATAGTAACTTCGAAATTCATGGGAAATTTACTCATGAAGCATTTGAGTAGAATCTAAAAAAAAAAAAAATCTCGAATGGCTTTTATGCGACAACAATAAATAGCAAGAAATTAAAAAAAAATAAAAATAAAAAAATAAAAAAAGGGAAACATCCAACAAAAAAAAACCAGCACGAAATTTAAAAAAAAAAAAATGACAAATTTCTACAGAGAAAATTGCTTCTATAGAACAACAAACCCCACTATAAAAACTTAAAAATGGTTTCTACACAGCAACAAAAGACTAGCAAAAATAAATAAAAGAAAACCAACCAGAAAAAAACCTTAACTTGTTGAAGAAGATGAAAGCTTCCAAATGTATCCTCGCTTGAAGCAGATGAGGTTTGGTGAGAAGGCAGGAGAGAGGGGCGAGGGCATATGACAAGACAGGAGGGAGACGGGGTGAGGGACGCAGAGAAGGCAGGAGAGAGAGGAGCGAGGGTTTTGTGAAGCGGCAAGTGGTTTCTTATTTTATTTTTATTTTTTTGGAAATTTATGTCCTGACCTGTATATTATACAATTGAAATGAAATTACCGAAAAATAGGTCGTTATTAGATAGAATCCGTATTTTGTAAAAAAATCAAGATTTTAATCTTGTAAAAAAAAAAATTTCTTTAATAGCATTTCATAGTATTTCTTCCTTCATATTTTTTTAATCTTGATATTATACTTGTAAATTCATAAATAGCTAATTAAGAATTAATAACTTACCTAATAATCAAAGTGTTCAATTGAATAAATAAAAATGTGAGTAATCTCATGTACACCTTTTATGAAAGAAGAATATTATTATTTGTGATTTAAATCTAATTTTATTATTAATTTCTCAGTTGTAAATTTTATTTTATATTTATAATTGGAAATTCTAATTTATAGTTATAATTATGATATTTAATTTATATTGACAATTTTAAACTTATTCATTATATAATTTTAATAATTTGATGTTTGACATTATTTTTATAAAAAATTTATAATATTTCGAATAAATATTTGAAAATGACATAAAAATAAATAAATATTAACGTTCTACATAAAATTTATAGCTTTCTAATCGAATAGTGGAGAAGAACATGAAGATAACATTTATAACATGAGTGCATAATTTTTTTTTAAAAAAATGTGTTGTTTTATTTTAATTTGTGAAATATTTTATCAAAATGAGAGTATCATTTTTAATACCAAATTATAAATTTTAATTTATTTTAGATTTAAGTAAAAGTATAATAGATATAACAAGATGTCTTAATTTTGTTACATAAAAGTGGGCAAGAGCATGTTATATTCACAAATTTAATTACTATATAAAAATTAATAATGAATCAATTTGACAATAAAAATTAATAATGAATCCGATTTTAAGATGAATTTCTTGTTTGCCACCTAGTCACAAACCTACTCATATTTTTTATATAAAAAATTCCCCAAGGGGCTACGCAAAAACTAGACCATTTCGGTTGTGTTTGTTGCAGCTTTTTTTTAAAAAAAAAAAAATTAATTACTAAGTTTCCTAGAATTCAGAAAGAAAGTAAAAATTCATCGAGAAAGGGACTAAAATCGTAGTGGTAGCTGCATATCTTAATTATCGCTTTTGGTTTCCATTCCCTAACCCATATCCTAATTACCGTTATTTGGTTTTCATTCCCACCGCTAACACCACCCATACTTTCAAAAGGCTAACTCCTAATCCATTTGATTCCATTCCCTACCCCATATCCTAATTACCATTTTTTGTTTCCATTCTCCCCGCTAACACCACCCATACTTTCAAAAGGCTAACTTGTAATCTATTTGAAAAATTCGATAGGTGCTCGTCTTCCCCACTCGATTATCATCATAACAAATGGCGATGGTATTTTCACCTATTTGGTATTTGGGAAAGGTGAAAACTACTTGTCTTAACTATTTTGTTAGACCATGTTTATGTTTGCCTTTTAAAAATTTAGAAATTCTTATAATAACCTGAAAATCCATTTTCACCACTAATTATGAAATCTAATATTCTAAAAATAGTGCAATTGGAGGAAATTCATTAGCATTTCAAAATCTTGAAAACATATGGTCTATATAATGTGTTACAAGCAATGGTTTAAAAAACGGAACGATGACCCAAATCGGGCATCCAAAAAACCGATCCGGATCGGCAAATCGGCGATTCGAATCGGGAATCGGGTGAATCGGTCAGAATAAAGCTTAAAAAAAATCCGAAAAAATTATTAAAATTCATTATAAATATTGTTTTTTAGGAATTCAATAAGAAATGAGGGTACTCCAATAAGAATTTTCATGTTTTTGAATGAATATGCGAATATTGATATGTTATTTCCTTGCATGAACCGCCATTCAGCATTTAATTTACATCACACAAAAGGATAAACATAGAATTATCATGGAATAAGTATATCAACATACATGGACTACAATAAAGCATAAAATTAGTACCATATGATCTAAAAATAAAATGATAGACGATGTTATTGTTCTTCTTGGTCACGTTGGTGCCATTGATTGAATTCGTTTAACAATTCATTGATTCGATCTAAAAACGAATCATCGATATTAGCAGGCATCTGACTATTCCCAAATCCCTGAGTGTTAGTGTTTTGTTGTGTTCCCAATCTAAAATCCCCGAAGCTTGTCCATCCTTCATGCTTACCTACACTATCGTGCTCATCCCTACACTGTTGCTGTTGGGACTCGATATGTGAATAATATGGTTGGGATAGGGTGGCCTCATAATCATCATCTCTCTCATTTTCTCTTTGAATAATATGGATTAAAAAAAAAATTAACAAATTTTCAAAAAATCGATCATGGATTAAAAAAAAAAAATCACAAATTTTCAAAAAATTCTATCATGGATTACAAAAAAAAATTCAATCATGGATTAAAAAAAAAATTCATTAATTTTCAAAAAATTCTATCATGGATTACAAAAAAAAATTCGATCATGGATTCAAAAAAAAACATCACAAATTTTCAAAAAATTCAATCATGAATTACAAAAAATTCGATCATGGATTACAAAAAATTCGATCATAGATTACATAAAATTCAATCATGGATTACATAAAATTCGATCATGGGTTACATAAAATTAGATCATGGATTACAAAAAAAAAAAAACATAAAAAAAAAAATTCCATCATGGATTACAAAAAAAGAAAAAAACAATTCGATC